TGCGCTAGCAACAATAAATGTAATCAACTACCTCTAGATCAAAGTAGTTGTCTTAGTAATTAAATAACATTCCCAAAGTAATAGTTTGAAGATGTAATTTCCGAAGTATAGAGCGTGCGGTAGCACAACGCTTCAACTCCAATATAACCCCAGCATTGATTTGTTTTTGTCGCAAACTACTAGAAATAAGTCTTAGGGATTGACCTAAAATCTTAAGCTTGGGGAAAGAGCATAGGGAGAGTAAAAGCTATTCAAATAAAGCCAGATTTCAAATTTCCGTCTAAATCAAAGACGGTGATGGCTAAATGGTGCACTAGTTTGTTTTGCTTTAAAACAGGAAGTATGTTACTTCCTTTCTTTCCATGTAATCAATCGCGGTAATCAGGGGCGCACGATTATTTTACTGTGAATTTGCACGTATCCCTTCTCCACGTGCAGACGACGCGTCGGTTTTCAGATTGATGCACCTTATTTTTTTCATGTTTTATTTAGTGTGTTTCAAACGTTTATTCTTTTAATTCAGATAAAGGTAAAATGAAGGACGAGTGGTACAACCCAAATTCTTATCGCTCGACAATTTCTCTCTGAAGACGCAAAAAATCCTCCGGCTGGAAAAAAAAAAAAAAAAGAAAAGAAAAGACAGTTTGTTGCAGGAATGTTAACTTCCGAAACGCCCACATCTCCGTCAACGCCTTCGGCGTTGAGAGAGATGTGGCCGGTTTGGAAGAAAAATTCAGGAGATGGCAGAGGCCTTGCGGTGTGATCTTTCTATGGTTAGAAGTCAGCGGTGCAGTGCTTTCAAAAATTTTTTAAACAAAAATATGCTTGATGAACCTTATTAACAATTGTTAAGCACATAAAACGTGTGACATCGCTAAATTACTGAACAATGCGTTAAGGCCCGTTCACACACTTGCAAGCGAGTAGGACCGAGGGACACGAGACCTGTTGAAACCTCTTAAATTTTTTTAGGACGAGAGAACCAACTGGCACGCTGGCACCATGTATGCGGTTACCCTGGAAGTGCATTTCAAAAGAGCGAAGGTTTTGCGTGATTCTCAAGGTAAAATCTGCGTAATGCCTATAAGAAAGGCTCGTTTATAACGTTGACAAAAGTTTTTCGAGCCAACAAAGAAAGGATAATGTGCGAGAGAGAGAGAAAGTATGCCGGACCGCCAAGTTTACACTACTACCCAATAGATGGCACCAGTGTGTCCTTTCGTCATAAGAGATGTTAAGAGGTTCTAAGGCACTATGTTCTAAGAGGTCGCAAGTGTGTGAACGGACCTCTAGTCTTCTCCGTCATAAATAAAGCAAAATAAAGACAGCGAGAGGGAGCTTGAGTTAAAAGCAGACTTGTGCTCGCTACTTGAAAAATGTAATGGATTACCGTTACAAATTACTTTCGCTGAAAAGCGACGGATTGCTTTACTCGTTACGTTACAAATTACTTTTACGGTACTTTTTCGGTACACTCATTTAGAGAAACAGTTTTAATTTATTTTTCAAAAATGGTTTGCACTTTTGCTGAAAAGTAACGGATTACTTTACTCGTTACGTTACAAATTACTTTTACGTTACTTTTTTGGTACACTCATCCAGAAACAATAGAAAAAAATTTTAATATTTTTTTTAAATGTTCTGCAAAACTACTTTTCATTTCTCGTACGCCCGTATTACGGTAGTCCTTGTAAAAATAAAATATTGTATTTAAGAGAAAGAGTGTAGATCCATTCCGTTCTCCGGTAAGCTGACAAGGCGCCGAAAGCTGCAACCAGACCCGCCATCCCGCTAGATTACGGCCTCCGGAAATGATCCCTGGAATTGTGCAAACAAAGCTAGCGGTGCGGATGCTCAGTAGCAGCGTCTGCCTCCGCTGTGAGATTCGGAGCTAAAGACGCTATTTACGTAAGCTCCCTTTTGACTCGGGAGTTTCGCCCGTTATTCACAAGAAAAGAAAAACTTGGTTCTAACGTTACAATGTATAGCCCAATGCAGAATGCAGGTGTCCCAGCTTACCTTGTTGCGTTTCCGTAGATTAGAGTTTGTTGTTTTTGCTCATGACATTGTCTGTGTTTTTCGCATGTCAGAGAAAAAATGGTGGTTACGAGTGATTGATCGTTCATCGGTTCTCACTTTCATATTAATATTCGTGGAGGCCAGGGGGGGGGGGGAAGAGGAAGTGATAGAGAGCGAGAAAAGCGGTGGCCATCGGTTTCACAAAACGATAGAGGATCACAGCACTTTTACGCGTTCTTTCTCTCTCTCTCTCTCTCTCTGTCAGCACTTTATGTTGACAGTTGACTGTAAAGTGAGGAGTGGACTCGACCACCATGCCCGGATAGGTAAACCAAAAAAAGTATCGTCTGTACCCTCGAAGACGATGCTCGTATAGACTCGCGCCGGCCGCTTTTCAGCGGTGCCTCAAGAGCGTGTTAAAATAAAGTAGCGCACGTCAAAGACGAAGAGAATTCGACCCCCTCGCACGAGGCAACATCGTCTGTTTCGCAAGTTGTGAACCCGCAAATCAAGGGGGTACGGACCCGCGTTTGATATCTGTGCAGGTGGCGGAAGACGTCGAAGAAGTTGGAAAGGGTGAGACGGTGTAAAGAACAAAAACAAATAAACACGAAGAGCTTTCTCCTGCCCGGGAGAAGAAGAAAAACAGCATGGAAGGCGACGGAGAGCCTACATGGCGTTGTCTTACTTGATCTTTGTCTTTTGTATATTTGTACATGCCTTGCCCGTTTTTCTGGTGGTTCTAATGACCGGTCATACAAAGAATCGTGTATTCTTTTCGGCTATTCTTCCCGCCCTGATGTTTTCTTTTTTGTGGAACTTGCCCTCTTTCTGCTGCTGCTGAATGTTCTGCTCGTATTGCCCCAGTTTCTGTATTATGCTAAAATTTTTAACATGAACGAGTAATTAAAGTAATCCATGACCAATCTTTTGTAACGAAGTTACATCACAAATTACTTCCGAAAAGAAGTAACAAGGCAATTACAAAATTATTTGAAAAAGTAACGGATTAAAAGTAATCCGTGATTGTAACGGATTACTTCCCAAGTCTGCTCAGAACAGACCTGGGCTGCACAGTTACTTGCACCAAACTCTTTTATTGTCAGGCAATTTAGGTCCCCGAAAGCCCGTAAAAGCCAAGGGATAAACTTACTTGACATTTTTTTGGACAATACTTGGTATTTTGGCCCTAAATTGCGAAACGATTAGGTGCCAGATGAAGGTTTCACCTTCTGGTTGTTCGGTGGTCATTTGGTTTTTGGCCTCAGCCCCGAGGAAATGTCATAGGCTTTATTTATGGTTTAGCAGTTTTCACCTGGCAACTTGACTAATTATGCGAAACAAATGCCAAAATGAGGCTTCACTGCTGGTTGTCCGATTGGTAATGGAATTTTGCGTTCATGTTTGTCACCTTATCAATTTTGTGGCACATAAAAAAAAATTTTCGTACTTTAGCACTAACGAACGGATTTGAGTAAAACCTTATTGGGTCTAAGTTAAGCTCCTAGGTTTGCAAAATTTGGCTTAGTTTGGTGTTCTTGTGGCGCGCTGCCTGGGACTTGATATAAGTACACCATTATTTTATGAAAGCTGAAGCGTGCGTATTACGTAAAAAAAAAGGTTTTCTGAACACAGTATGGTTTAGAATTCCCAGAAAACTTTCACTAGTCCCGACTTGTAGTTAACAAATCCCGTGGACACTCTTATTAAAAGAAATTTATCTCGATTGAGCGAGAAACGGGAGTCAGACGTACTCTCTTGATGACAAACATTTGCTACTGCCCACCTTTTCATCTATCAGAGCATGACATAAGACTAATACGTTGTTGTATAGCAGTAATGACTCATTTAAGCCTCACCAATCGCACATATCAACCTCCTCCGTCTTGAACCTCCATTTTCGAGAGCTAGACCCTTAGCAGATTTTCTAGTCTTGCACGTACTTAACGGCGTGCTATGTTCGACTGAGGCACTCGGGCCAGCAACCGTCCAGATTGCTGTATTGGAACTTTGGGGTCGCATGGATTCTGACTGCACGAATGCGAGACATTGAAAGTCGACCAAAGATCGTTTTTACAACCTTTTTTTAACTTATTTGCAGTAAATGAGAATGCACTATGGTAACAGAAAATTATGGATGGAGAGGAGATAAAAGACAGCTCTCTTCGAGTTACAGACCCAATTTGATTAGTCAATTTGGTTGCATACAATTAGTAAAAATAACTAAATACTACCCCCAAAAATATAACTCAAGAATCTGTTCGAACTTAACTCAGATGTAACTGTGCCATGTGTGAGCCCAAGAATGTTGCGTTTTAATTTAAAAAGAAGTATCCTGCATACTGAAGTGTTCTACTATATTATTGTACATTAACTCCCTACTTATAGTTCCTTGCAACTCAAGAAGGTAGGGCGAGGGTAACACGTTTCGGGGAGGAGGAAGCAGACGGAACGCTGGAGAAGAATGGGGGAAACCTCCTTGTCCCTTCAGCGTTCCGTCTGCTTCCTCCTTCCCTGCACGCCTTACACTCGCCCTATCTTCTCCAGATGCAACGGACTGTAGAAAATAAAATACTAATATAGCTGAAATATTGCTCTTTTCAGATGCTTCTGTTGGAATAAGATCTTTTCAACAAATTTTTAGTTTTTTAATCCGATACACTGAGAAAGCAATAACAAATTGAGCAGAAAGTGTCAAGAACTTCTAATTTATTTTCTGAAAAGAAATAACTTTTGAATATCTTAGAGGAGCCATTTTTAGGGGGCGATGCTAGGCAACAGTTACATATTCCCTGTTTAAATAATTATGCAAAAACTGCAATTATATGATGATATATTATTTTTTTACATTTGCATGAGGTTGCGCGAGTGCTAAAAGGTCTGCATGCAGCAATGGAACTTGAATGTTCAAAGCAAAAACGTACTCAAAAGTGCACATAATACAATCGTATAGGTCAATAAACTCCAGTGTTCACTTACAGGCCCTCGAAAACACCGATAGAAAATTTTGGATGCTGTATCGAACATTAAGGAGAACGGACCGTGCTAACGAGTGCGTGTACACAGAAGTGAAAACACAAAAAACAGAAGACAATGCTTTCGAATTTGTGCAGGGATATATAAAGGAAGACGGAACCAATGTGTAAGATATTTATAGTTGCTAGATATCGATTAATATTATAAATATAAACACCAACTAATTTTTTCCTGTAGGGAAGAAACGTTATTGGCATTTCCTTATGTGACGGAGTCCGCAGGACACAAGAAACGTGAAAAAGAAAATGCAATGCTTGTAAAAAAAAAGGAAGGTAGGACATCATATTTCACATAAGATGTTTGTATTTGTAGAATTGTGATAAAAACTTTACCTTTGTTTTATATGAATATGTTGTATTCAATGAAAATCATGAAGAATAAACGCTAGTGTGTTGCCTTTGATTGGAAGGAATGGCGGCCACGCTATGTTAGATAAAATTCACTGATGAAGAAAAGAACAGTGGCCAGAAGGACGCAGTGTTTAGCGACACCGTTGATTTACAAGAAGTGCTGCGTCCGAGTAATCCTGTAGATAATCATGACACAATAACATGTGGTGATGAATTATATTGAAATACTGAAACGCGCGTTGATATACCTAAAACATTGGATACTGTCCATAGAAAACTAAAATGAGAGAGATACGTCGTATTGAATGGGATCATGAATATTTATTCCTATACGAAGCAATATAACGTAGTATAAGACACGCTATGCAGCGTGTCTTATATTACGTGTCACTAGTTGCGTACAGTACATACAAAGGCAACGCCAGGCAAGGGGAGAAATGGCAAGCACTAAGGAGGATGGGGAGGAGAACAGAAACCTCTTCTCTCTAACGTTCCTAGTGCTCTCTCTTTCTCCCCTCGCACTCCATTGCCCTCCTCTCCCGTCTCGTCTTCCTATGCTAGCCCTTTCTCTCTTCGCCTGGCGTTGCCTTCGCCTGCACTGCACACAACTAGCGACGCGGTGTATACAGCGCTGTTCTTAAATGCCCGTTTCCGTGTATAGCGGTTTCGGTTTAATCTCGCGCATTGCATTATGGGATGTCTAGGTGTGTAACGTTCCATAACGCAACACTGTGCGTTCAGTTTCCCCGCTAGATTTAGCGGAAAAATTGACGCCACATGACCTCTACGCCAATTCAGTTTCCCCGCTAAATTTGGTGGAGAATGAAATTGCTGTATATCGCCGTCGGTGTAACCGCGCGCTTTGCGTTATAGGACGTCACGGATCTATATACCAATTCGATTCCCCGCTAAATTTAGCGGGGAAACAGACTTGGTGTTGAAGTGATCTGACGCTAGTTTTGCTTATAATAGCGGCGAAACCGAATATGTGTAGAGGTCACGTGCCATAATTTTCCCCGCTAAATTTAGCGGGGAAACTGAATTGGTGTTGAGGTCACACGACGTCAATTTTCCTGCTAAATCTAGCGGGGAGACTGAATTTTTGTATAGGTCACTTGACACTAAGTTATCTGACGTCATTTTCCCGTCTAAATTTAGCGGGGAAACTAATTTGGTGTTGAGGCCACGTCGGGTTAATTTTCCAGCTAAACCAATAAACACCAGCAGAGCTGGTATTTAAACGAGCTAGCAATATTTCGAGGTAAAGTCAAAGTCTCAGTTACACGGTGCCCTCGCCATTATAAACATCCATCGTAGTACAGACACCCTGACTAGAATTCGAACCCGCTAACTGGGGATCTGTCTGGCGGTGTTTGCTGTTGAAGCCACCAAGGCCATTAAAATGTTTTTTTGCCTTTATTACATTATATTTACTTATTTATTTATTTATTGTACCCTCAGGGCCGGAGGGCATTACAGAGGGAAGTGGGTTACAAAAGGAAAATCACTAAAAAACAAAATGACAACTTAAGAATAGGAACACGTTAACTTTAACTGTAAAGTCCTGTAGAATAGAACGTCTTCCAAACCCAGTGGACTAATACGGGAATAATCTCGTACTAGAGTAGAGAGGCAAATAAAAACGCATCGCATTCTACGGAATGAGATACTAACCTTGCTACAATCGCCAGATACGAAATATTCAAAATGGCAAAGGAAAAAACCTGTAACAGCGATCTTCTTGACTGTATGTTTTGATCCTGCCAGGGGCAGGTGCCAAGTACACAATTTAGCTGACAATGCCCATAATAGTATACTCTCATTTCACAAACAGTCAACCGTATACGGTTCTCAAGCGCATGTTTCGCGATGTCGAGTAGGGCTGGGCGTCGATTTTAAATATTGACCCGATTAATCGCTACCCTTTAATCGATTAATCAATCGATTGCTTGGCTTCGGTCATTAGTATGCATAATATTTTTAAGAAGTAAAAATTACAGTTTTGCCTTTGCTTGATATATATTAAACAGCGTAATGTACGATTTCAAATTTTAAATAAACCTGGAACAGTGGTTAAGAATAGTCAAAAGACACACACACTTACGAATTACTACTTCAGCCGCAGAGGCAAAGAGGTTCGTTCATATTCTCCGGGAATGGCTACCTCCTCTGATTGATTACAATAGTCTCTGTTGCGCTAAACGCTAAATCGCACTGCGTTCAAGTGGCAGAGATACCTGTAACCTAATCAACTCATTTTGGAGTTATTAATCTCGCTCCTTCAGTTTGCATTAGGTCAAAATTTCACCTACATTTTTCCTTCATACACGTGTACTCGTCCAGGTCTGCGTGTTGGAAACTTGCCATTTTTACTGATTTAATCAAAATTTAACTCATTAAGCGGTTAAACATTGAAATGCGATTAAATCATTAACCGAATAATCGGTAGCTTAATCGAAGAGCCCCTCCCTAATACAGAGTGTCCCATCATATGCAGTTTTTTTAGAGCCCTGAGAAGAACCCTATACTTCTAAAAGTGTTTTTTGTAAAACGAATTTTCTTCCATTCCAGTCGCTTGCATAGCATATAACTTTCATAATCTGCCTTATCTCTCATAATCTTGCCGATGCACTTATCAGGTTTGTTTCTCGCGACCACCGCCAGGGTATTATTTCCGGCTTCTGGTTGGCCACATTCGAATTACTGAAACGACGCCCAGCCCGTTTTCGGCCAATGGTGTTTCCTCATTTGTCTCCTATACTTTCCAATGAATGGACAAACTCTCTACATATATGGCTCTGGTGTTCGGGAGACGCTGCCACAAATGGCTACATAGAAGGAACAACACGAAGGAGGGAAGAAAGTTAGATCGAAACTGAACTGAACATAACATTGACAAACCGATTTTCGCGGACCGTCCAAATTGGGATCGAAACGTTAGTGCCCTATTGGAAAACCCCAATATGAACAGCGTATTATGGATATTGGTAAACAATATCTTTTTATTGTATTGCAATACAATATAGACAGTGTATTGGAAAACATTACATTTATTGTATTGTATTACAATAAGGATTTGATATGGGATTCCAATACCCATAATACGCTGAAAATATTGAAATCCAATACCATATAAACCCTTATTGGATCCCCATGTGTCGTATGGGGATCCAATAAGGTTTTACGATTCCAATATACTCAGCGTATCATGGATATTGGAATCCAATATATTATATCGGCTACCAATAAAACTATATACGAGTTGGAATATCACGTTCAGCGCAACATTTCTCTGCAACACAGTCTCTTCTTGTGTGTATTTCTGATTGATAAATTTAAAAAATGTTGCTGTTGTCAAATTGTGAATAAAGAAGCAAAACACTGGACTTCTCCATACCAAATATATCTAACATATTCTTGAACTGGAGGATCTGGCATTTACTGCAAAAGAAAGTTAATTGTTTAGGACTCTCATTCAAAAACTTGGTGTTTGAAAACAGAATGTGAAATCCTCACCTTAATGAAAACAGCACCTGCTTGCTGTAGCCATATAGAAACTGCAAAATAAAAATTAGTGGTTAGTTTGCGACAAGTAGCAATCCTTCAACAAGCCGGATAGATTCAAAATTATGTCTGCGTTTGATTGTGGAAAAATAAGCTTCAATGCCACTGCCACAGGTCATTCTGAGCTCGGTCAATTAAATATACGTATCCGCTCGTCTGGCTTCACTATTCCTGCTTCGCACCTAACAAGATTACCTGGAATGCTCACCTTTGAGGAAAAGCGAACTGGTGCTTGCTTGCTTGTAGGCCGTCGAAACTAAAAGAGAGATTTGCGGCTAGTTGCGTCCAAGTAGCAGTTACTTTGAGTAGCCACGTAAAGTACACTAAGTCTGAAATATTCAAAATTACATGCGCGGGACATAGATATCCTCTTGCGACGTAACTGGGCACGTGCCAATGTCGCCCACTTGTATTACAGAAAAATAAGCTTCAATGCAGGAGCTCCCAGTCGTTCTGAGCTCCGTCAATTAAAAATGTTGTACCGGTCGTATGGCTTCAGTATTTCTGCTTCGGGAATCTGGAATTCTCACCTTTAAAGAAAAGCAAACTGGGACCTGCTGGCCCTTAGGCTGCGGAAACTGCCAGAAAGATCTGCGATTAGCTGCGTCCAAGTATCAATTTTTTGACCAGCCACCTACAGCACACTAAGCCGGATAAATTCAAAATTACATGTGCGTGACATAATATGCCTCTTGTGAAAAAACTGGGCACACGTTTTGTCGCCTACAGCAACACTGAAGCCAGACAGACAAGCGGTACGGCACCTTTAATTCACGGAGCTCAGAACGAGTAGGGACGCTTTCACTGAAGCTTGTTTTGCTGCAATACACACGTGTATTGCAGCAAAACAAGCTTTAGTGAAAGCGTCCCCAGTCGTTCTGTCAATTAAATATGCCGTACCGCTTGTCTGGCTTCAGTATTGCTGCTTCAGAGCAATCTAGAAAATCTAGAATCCTCACCTTTGAACGAGAACGAACAGGCGCCGGCTGGCTTGTGGGTCATGGAAACTGCAAGAGAGATTTGCGATTAGTTACGTCCAAGTAACAATTTTTTTGGGTAGCCACCTACAGCACACTCAAAATTGCATGCACGGGACACAGATCATTAATGCGACGGAACTCCCTTCGTCCTTGTTTTCTGTTAACTCTGCTCACCTTCACCACTCGCCTCCAATTTCTGCGCTACTTCTTTAATCTCGATTCCCTGGTTCCCAAAGGCCATGCCATGGCTTGCGCCAGTCACGGGTCTATCAGCTCTGCGACTGGCGCTATTGTGGCAAAGACGCCACAGCACCTGGCGCTTGATGTGCTCTTTCAATATTTTGAGCACGGCTCAAAACACGTGGATGGGTGTCTGGT